CCCCAAAACCCCAAAACCCCAAAACCCCAAAACCCCTTCATAATATAAAAATATAGAATTTCAGCTGTACAAACTTTAAATTAATGGAAAATGACTCACTTAAGCTAAAAAGCTTCTGATTAGGAATACTGAGATTAAAGGAACTAGCTAAATTATTCCAGAATGCCTTTAGAATAGGAATCTACCAGAAATGTGTGGTAAATTAAGACTTCTAACATACTAAGAGAGATGTCAAAGCATATTGAGAGAAAATTTACAGAAAAAATCGGAGGTTTTAGTATTTTGAGTTAGGGATTTTACATATTACACTTTTAAATCAGGACCTAAGTAAAATGGCTTCAAGGCTTCAGGAATTATAAATCCACCATTTTCTGTCTGAAAGTTCTCAATGATCGCCATTATTAGTCTCGGAGTGGCTGCTGCAGTTCCATTAAGAGTATGAGCTAAAACTTTTTCATTTTGTCCTTTTAAGTATTGGATATTAAACCTCCTGCTTTGGTAGCTTGTTCAGTTAGAAGTTGATGTGATTTCTCCAAAATCATTTTTAGACGGGAACCATCATTCAAGGTCAACCTTCTTATATGCAGAGGCGCCTAGCTCATATGAGGCCATATTTAATCCTCTATAATGAAGACCAAGCTCATCAAGCATTTCTCATTGAAGATTTACCATCTCATCAAAGATTTTGTCTGAATCATGAGGCTCACAGTAGACAAAAAGTTCTACCTTTGAGAATTGATGAAGTCTGTACATTCCTTTAGCTACTGCTCCCCTACCAGCTTCTTTCCTGAAGCAATGGCTATAAGCTGCATATTTTAGAGGGAAATCTTTCTGGAAGAGAATCTCATTTGCAAGCATTCCTGCTAATGGTGCCTCTGAAGTTCCGATTAAAGCTAGCTCTGTGTTATCATCTTGTATGATATAAGTTTGTCCTGCTTCATCTCTTGGTTGGAATCCTCATCCTTCCAACACATCAACTTTGGTAACATCTGGAGTGATTATCGGGTTAAATCCTCTGCTAATAGCTTTAGAGAGTGCCCAGTTTACAAGAGCCATTTCTAAAAGTGCGGCTTGGTTTTTAATAAACACAAATTTTGAGCCCGTGAGTTTGCCCCCGTTCTCAAAATCAAAGAGGTCATGCTGCATGCCAATTTCAAGATGACTCTTGGGTTCAAAATCAAACTGTGGTTTATGCCCTTTCACAAAAATAATCTCATTTTTGTCTTCATCTCCTATTGGGCTGTCAGGATGTGTCTTGTTCGGCAACTTGAGTGTCTCATTCATCAAATTGTACTCAATAATCTTGAGGTCATCTTCGTATCTCTTAAGGTCCTCTTTGAAGCTAACTCCAACATTTTTATACTTCCTTAATTTCTCTGATCGCTCATCGTCATCAGCAATAGATTGGATATTCTTGATGGCTTTGGCATGCTCGTTCCTTCTCCGTCTGAGTTGGTCTATTTCATACCTTCTCTGCTTGTAGTGATCGTAGTATCTTGAGACAACTCTAGGATTAGCCCCTATCGCATTTCTATGAGATGATCAGTATGAATTCCTACCTGTTCCTACAGTTCTGTTCAATAAGTCCAATATTATCCATAATCTTCTTGAAATCGAACTTTACTTGCCCATATTTCCTGAAATTGGGGATGTTTCTGGCAAATGTTCTCTGAGAGTGACCCAAGGGGATGTAACTTCTGAAGGAAGCTCTGTTGATCATTTATGATACAAATTAATTTATAATTCAATCTGTAGGTTGAAAAAGGGGTTTTGGGGTTTTGGGGTTTTGGGGA